CTCCAATTCCAAATTCAGTCTTCCTGTAGCACCGTCGAAGATCATACTACCTCCTTACTCGGGACTTGCCAAACAGGTTTTCAGTAATTCCAGTTTCCTGGATTTATTGCGCCGAAGCTCCCATTCGAGATGGTGTGACCAAGATTACAGATATTTGAATCTAACTGATAATCTTAACGTTAACCGATACAGATCTAGTATTTTCAAAATTGTCGTCCGTGGGATTCGAACTCTAGACCTGCCACTTGGGGGTGCAGCAACCCCACCACTTCACTAGGTCGCCGCACTCCTAAGCAATTTAGTCGTAATTTTGCTATATCTTAGAATTTAATAAACAGCTATTACCCCATTAATCAACTTCCAGCTGATGTATGACCCATCTTTTTTAAAAATAACATTTGACCTGCTAAATTCAGATCTAAGCTTGTTCTTTTAGAGCTAATAAGATTGCTGGTATCTGAAAACAATTATTCACTTGACACCGACATCACAGGTATTGCGAGATACTTTCTGGCTATTTTGGTAAGTTTTAGAAGTTTTGAAGAATGCATTTTCCACCAGTCTAAAGAATTTGCAGTACTTAATGCTAATGGTAATGACAAATATTTAGAAATTTCTTCAAGATTTTGTACATTTTGTCTTTTTTTTGCCTTTTCATTTGACGTTGTTAAAGGTACTCTTTATGCAATCATGTTGCAAGTTCTGTATTAGATGAAGTTGGATGTGTAGATAATTCAGGTGCGTGTTTCTCTAGTTCACTGAATTCATCACGAAGCCTTTGAATAATCAGTTGCTTTTCTGAGTCATTGCCTAGGAAATCTAAATCTTTGTAATGTGGATCTAATAAAACTGCCACCAGACCAAGATCACTTGGATCATTCCAATAGTAGATTAGTACTTCGTAAATATTCTGTTTGACTTCTTCTAAAATACTAGTTGTATCTAAGAGAGCTTTAATTAAATTTTTTTTTTTTGTAATGTTACTTATAACTTCTTCATCATCGAAATCAATAGGTTGTGCTTCTTCATCTTCTAATCCAAACACGGTGTCCTCATCCAAAAACAGAGCATTATCCGATGATGTTAATATTTTACCTGCCAAATCAAATATCATTTCTTTAATACTTGGAATGACTTTACTTAATGTTATATATGTATTTTCTGAGAATTCTCGTGTTGCCTCCTCAAATAGCATCAGCAAATCGATAAGTTGATCTATTAATTTCTATTCATCATCTGAAAGAAGGATCCTTTTTAATTTATTACCATCTTTTTTAACCTCCCCAATCAACTGACATACATAGATTAGCTTGGAGTTGAATAATTGCATCTTTTAAAAAAAGAGATGATCCCAAGCGTAATATATAGAATTCCAACGAGTAGATACATCCTGAATGCAGTGTTATAAATCAGGGTAAAGAATGTAATTATAGTTAACTATTTTTAAAAAATCGATTGCATATTGATTATTATTAACTAATTAGTTAATTTATTAATCATTTAGTTGGCTGATTTTGATAATTAATCAATTAATAATTTTTAATTGATTAATTATCAAAATCAGTTAACTAAATAATTAATCGATTTTGATTTATATCATTATCTGGGTTTGGGCCCTATAGCTTAATTGTTAAGTTGCCAAACCCCTACAGAAAGTCAAGGTCCATAGTTCGAGTCAGGCTAGAGGCGGAAAAAACTCTATAACCTACAGGTAAGGAGCCAAAATCGAACACAGAGCCCCGTGGAAGTCCAAGTATAGTACGGATTTGATAGAAAATTCCCAGAAAAAGATCTAACTATAGAGAGTTGGCATCATGTTTGGCAAGCGGCATTATAGAAGGTCTGGACAATAGGTTGCGCATGTTAATCTGTGGAGATAAAAACTATAGAGAGTTGGTGTTATGTTTGACAAGTGGCGTCATAGAAGGTTTTAGAACAAATAGGTTGCGCGTATAAATCCTCGAGGCACTTAGATAACACCAACAACCCAGGTGGTCTGGGATCTTGCTTGGGAGGGTAATACTAATGTTCTAAAACTAGAAGTAATGAGTGAAGCGGTAGATATAGTGATAAATCTGCATAGTAGCACCAACAACCCAGGGGTCTGGGATCTTGTTTGGGAGGGTAATACTAATGTCTAAACTGGGAGTGATGAGTGAAGCGGTGGATATAGTAAAGATCTGTGAAAAAAGATTGGTCTAATTAAATTCTGGAAATACCTCTGGCACCTATATAAGGTTAGAAGTTGCGTTAGGTATTGTATTGTACATTACTAACTTCAGTAATGAGTGCCATGCTAGTGCGTTGTTAGTCAAGGTTCTAGGTCTCCTTGCAGCACCAAGCTAGAAGTGAAAACGATTATCAGTAGTATACCCACATGTAAAAATGGATACACTGAGAAGCCTTTGGCGCTCATGCTACAGACAATTCCAACTTTGGTAGCATCATAAAGGCAAGTGGTACACTGCAGAGCAACAACTGGAAATTCCAATAAATCTGGCCATGCCTGTTTGGGAAGGTTGTGGCTTGAGATACAGATCATGTTATGGTAGCACTCTAAAAGTTGGCTTGAGATATGAACATGATGATGGCAGCACAACATGTATCCAAATCAGAGTGGTACTAAATAAAATATAAGGCTATGTACACTAATTTGGGAGCAACAAGAGCGAAAAACTGCTAGAATGAACCAAATTAGAAGGAAAAGAAAGTTACTGCAGGAAGTAGACAGGGGGACAAGATACTAATAACAATACAGAAAACTATATATAGGAAA